GTTTGCTCCGTACCTTTAAAAATGTATTACACAATTTTTTTAGACACCATTAAATATAATATATAAAAATAAAAACATAAATATATTACAAAAAATAAATTTTTAACCAATGATAGGATGCTCGGAGACGTCAACCCAAGCCGACGCCAATATGCACTCCTCCTCCGGCGTCCACTTTTGGATTGACCGTGCCGCCTCGGTCAACGTGCTTTTGGCTTTGTGGCTCCTCCGGCGTGTACTTTTTTTCGATCCGGACGGTTCCGGTTGAGTCTCCGGAACCGAATCTCGGTCGACGTACCCCGACTCTTGCGTTTCGTACATCGGCGGTCGATCGCCCAACTCTGGGTAATACCACATCGCGGCGTCGACGGGCGGGAGATCGTCGGGAAAGAAGCCGGAGCCGGAAGGATTCATGTTGAAAATTGGGAGGGGGGGTTTGAATTTTGAAATTTAAAAATAAGAAAGAGGAAGAGATTGAAGAGAAGGTGTGAGAGATTGGTTGGGGGTTGAATTTATAGGAATTTTTTTTTTTGAAATGTGGGCTGCAACGGCTTTTTTAGCCGTTAGGAGGGAGCCGCGCAAGAGTCACGCCGCGTCAAACGAATGACGCAGGCGCCCTCACGCCCGTTTCACGCCGGCGGGGGGCGGTGTTTCACGCCCCCGGGGCGTTAAATGCCCCGTAACGCCGGTGGGCGTGAGGGGTATTACCAGTGCTCTAATCCATCATCAAGCTTCAAGTTGTACGGTGTGAAAAGTGAGTAATTTAATTATGTCACACTACCAATAAATCTTGCTTATTTACACACCATTTGCAAATAAACCAAACTTAAGTAAAGTGAAACGCGGAGGACATTATTATTTAACATATTTTTTCTTGAGTATTATCAAAGGTACATAATAATAATTATAATAATAATTACGAACACCTAAGGACTTGGAACAAAAAACAGACCACGTCTATGTCTAATGCCGACTCGACGGGCTCGTCTTCGATCAAAACGCTAAAGAGAACCAAACAACCAACCCATGGTGGAATCTAAACCATCACTAAATATATATAACTACGGTACTAATTAATTGAGGATACTTGTACTTATTATATAGAAATAAATACCACGCAGAGATCATTAGCAAATTAATCACTCACTAGCTTCCAAGTTCCAACATTTGTACTTTTAATAATAATAATATTAAACCGGATGTGGATAAATTTATTTATTGGTGGAATGTGGGATCGGGTGTGTACATGGAAAGATCGGGCCAGCCCGGGTGGGTTCGGTTCATCAAACCCATTCCTATATGGGCCACACCGTTTGGGCCCGGGCACGACGTGGGAATCGAATTCGGGTTCCCGGGGAACTCACCCAACTGCAAATCCGACCCGCCCAGTAAACTCCCGAACTGCCGCCCTCCCCCGCTCGCAGTCGTCAGAAGCGACGTGAAACTGGCGTTCACATCGAAGCCCGGGATCCCGGCGATCCGGAACGGCTCATCCGACTTCTGCGGCGGCGCGGCCGGAGGACGACGGTTCGGCGGAGAAGACGGCGCAGCCGTGGTCGTCGAGGAGGATCGCTTGGAAGAGGAGGAGGAGGAAGAGGAGGAGCGCTTGGTGGTGCTCTTGCGGGTGCCGCCGCCGACGGGGATGTTTCTGAGAGCGCCGCCTTTGGTCCAATACCTTTTGCAGTTTTTGCAGAAGTGGCGCGGCTGAGAGAGGTTGTAATTGTTGAAGTAACAGAACTTGGTGTTCATCGAATCGCACCTGGGACATTTCAGGTGCTCCTGCTCTGGAAATTGAGGTTTGATCTGCGTATATATTATTGACGGATCCTGCATCTTCTCCTTCTTCTTCTGATCAATCAATCGACCGACCGATCACACAGAGTTCGAAAACAATTGGGTAATTTCTTTTTTCGAATCTGCAGAGGAAATTAACT